GAGCAAAGGTGTCACACTGGCAGGAGTGCGGGTTAAGGGCTTCCCAGTATATGTGCCCCACCAGGAGATGGGGCGAGGCCAGCCACAGCGTCTGCAGGTGGCTGGTGGGCACTGAGTTTCCACATCCTCAACGGGCAGAAGTTCTCTCACTGCACCCTGCCAGCCCCCTCCACAGCCAAAGAGGCAGGGTGAGGGGAACCAGCCCCCACCAGGCAGAAGCTGCCAGAATGCACAGCAATGGAGGAGAAAAGCAAAAGCAACCAACAGACTTTAGAAAAGGCACCAGGAGCTTCTCCACATCACTGTGTTTATCCGCAAATTTCCCTCGGAAACTGGAGGTGTGGGAGTGGGTGGCTGGGGGCCCGGCTGGGGCCACGCACACATGTAACCCCGCCCCCCCCAATTCCTAAGCAGGATGCATCTGCCCAAGAATTCCCAATTTAGAGCCCAAAGGGCCAGGACCAAATCCAGCCCCTTCTTGCACCCATTTTACAGATAAGAAAACAAAAATAACTGAGGGAGGTGAAGAGCTTAAAATCACAAGAACTCCACTTTATGCCACCAGCCAGCCTATTTCAGAGAATATTTAGAGCTGGAAGGTGTTTAGAGAACATCTGGCTCACCATATCATTTTATGGAGTGGAAACCGAAGCCAGGGGTGGGGGTGGGGTGGTGTGCCGGGCCCTGGTTCCTCTAGAGTCTCTGGCCCTCCATGTCCTTATCCGGAAGATGCAGACGCATACAGCCCACTTCCCGGGGCTGAAGACTGATAAGCTAATAAATACTACTTATTGTTATCTATTATCAGCAAAGCTCCCACGTGAGCCTTCTGATGATCCTGCCAGCCAGCAGGACAAGCCTCTGAGGACTGGCCCTCATCATTCTTGCTCTGGGTGCGCAGAGGTAGAAATGGCCCAGGACAACATCCAGCACCAGGCACTGCCCTCATCTGTCTTTCTCACTCTCCTGAAGGTAGGTGAGGTCTGACCTTTCCAGGTGGATCTAGAGAAAATAATGGAGCACAAAGAAGGGCTCTGGAGCCAGACACACTGACAGGGTCAAATCCAGGCCCCATTGCTGCATGACCTTGGGCCAATGTCTTAACCGCTTTGAATGTTGGGTTTTTTTCATCTGTAAAAGGGGAATAAAATTGTTACCTCCCTCATGGAGATTTTATGAGGATTAAATGAGAGAACTCGCAGTGCTCGGCGAGTGCGAGCTATAATTGTTATCAAGTCCAGGGTCCCCTGTGACCATCATCAGAGTGTTCCTTACCCCTGTCTTCCCACTCCAAGATGGGGATAGGCCACCAGCTTGCCAGGCCAGGTTAGGGATGTGGTTTCAGTCAAAGAACTGCTGATTAAATCAATCTTAAAGTTTCATTTTACACATATATTAAATTAATGCAAAAATGGAACCCTGGAACATGCATATATGGCTGGTTGCCATATAAGTGGTTCAACCCTTTTGGAAAGTGGTTCTTGGCCACAGCCATAAAAGATCAATATCCTCTGACGCAGTAATACCACTCCTGGGACTCCAGCCTAAAGAAATAATTCAAGAGACTTAAAAAGAAAAAAAAAACAAAACCCCAGACAACTATCTGCATGAAACTGATCCTGCAAAGAGCATCTAGAAGAAAAATAATTAGGAACAACCTACATCTCCAGTAACGAGAGACGATCGGAGGATTGATGGATGATGGAGTCAGACATAGATTCCAGTGTATTATGGCCATCATTAAAATGGTAATTACCAGCAACCAGTAACTCTGGAACAATGTCTACCTCTGGAGAAAGGACCGAGGGGGCCAAAAAAAAAAAAAAAAACCGGATACAATGGTGGAATTAAATGCGATTTCTCCCCCCCAAAACACCTTTTGACTTTTTTCAATTAACAGCAACAACAATAACAAAAATAAAAACACAGGAAGGAAGACAATTTCTCCTAAGCCCACAAGTGTGGCTCTCACTTGAGGCCTCAGGGGGAGGCCTGAGCCAGTGTGAACCTACCTCCCCTTTGGTGGAAGGCTGAATGGGCAAGGGAGGAGGTGATGCAGAGATGTGCCAGGTGGAGACAGGCAGGGCTGTGCCCAGGGTTATGCGAGCAGGACTGGGGCTAGGAAAAAGACAGTGTGTGATTAGGGAGGGCCTCTGGGAGGTGGTGTCCTCAGAGCAAACTCCTAGATGATGAGTATGGATACTCTGGGGGTAATCTGGGCAGAGGCAAGAAGGAACTGGGAGTTGGGCCAGCTCTGAAAAGACAGCCTGGGAGCAGGCTGGGGAGTTTGCACCACAAGGAAGCCCCATCATGGGCTTAAGGAAGATCCCTGGGGCTGCCTGGAGGAAGATGGGTGGAGGGGTGTGTCTGGTGGGTTGAGGAGGCTGCTGCAAGCATCCAGAGAGATGAGGTCGACTGGAAGGAGGAGGGGAGGGGAGGAGCTTCTCAGAACACACATGAAAAGCAGGTTGGCAGAGGACCTGAGTTCAGGTTGGGGCACCATGAGGGCAGGGGGCCGGTGCGATGTCCAGAGGGATGTGCTCAGGAAGCAGTTGGATCTATCGGTCTGGAGCTCGGGAGAGAAACCTGGGCTGGATGAAGTTGGTTGGGGCACCACAGTAGAATATGTGTTGGAAGCTGCAGGGTGTGGCTGAGTTCACCCAGGGAAAGTGAAAGGAGAGCCAGGCGGGCGCAACCATTAAAGGAGGAGGACCCCGAAAGGGGTCACAGAAGCAGAGAGGGAGAAGGAGCAGGTGAGACGTGTCTAGAAGCCAAGGGCCTGGAGGTCTGCAGGAAGGAGGGAGGGATGGGGTCAGATGTTGGAGAGGCATTCAGCAAGACAAGGACTGAATCATTCCTGTTCAATTGATCAACTCCGGTTGATCATCCGCAGAGCACGTTCAGTGTGCCATAAAGGGAGAGAGGGGAGGGACAAGGAAACAGACCTTGGGAATCCGGGGGCTTCCTTTTGAGGATACTGGATGAAAAGAGAGGGGAGGAAGTAGGTAGTGGCTACACGATGCACGCGGTCCCGCTGAGATCAGTAGTCTGACTGCCCGACTGGACTGTCGGGGTCCAGACCCCAGCTGCTGCGAGGCTCAGAAGGCAGACCCGGTGGGCAAGTAGAGCCCCGCCCTTCTCCCTCCTGGTCCACTGCGCTCAGAAAGCAGGAGGGCTATGTGCAGGGAAGCCAGGGCTCTCCCAACCCGGGAGGCCCATCTGGTGCCAAATCCCAGCCGCCAGGATCCCCGCCCCACCCCCCAACCTCAGCAGGCTAACTGGAGGGGAGCCCACCCTGCCGAATGCACAGGTGCTGGGGAACAGGTCCAGGGCAAGCCCAGCTCTGCCAACCCCAGACGTGGGAGGAACCACAGGTGCCATCTGGGTGTGGAGGCAGGGGCTAGGGCAGACAAGAGGAAGTTTACTGAAAACCACAGCTTTTTTTTTTTTTTTTACATTAATAAACTCTTTTTCCTAAAAGAGGGGTGTTTGTTCCCATTTTTATTTCTGGCTACTTAAAAAATTAGCAATATTATAGCTTAATGACAAAAATACCAACCACTCACATTGACAGAGCACATCACTGCCAGACACTGTTCTGGGCCATTCGAAAAGACTAACTCACTCAATCTTCCCAACAGCCCAACGAGGTAGGTGTTATTATTGTCCCCATTTCACAGGTGAGGAAACTGAGGCTCCCCTGCTCTGTTGAATTTCAGCATTCCCCTGATTATCTTCCTGCTCTTGGCTCTCTCATCCTAGAAATGCCCCAGAGCCAAAGGAGGAAAAGGGGATGCTGCTGGCCTGGCAGACAAGCCTCCTGGGCGTTCCTCCTGCCGCTGCCACTCACCTAGGAGGGTGCTGAGCCCCCGGTTTCTCACAGGTAAGGTGAGAGGGTTGGCTGTGATGGCCTGGCTGCACTCTGACCCCCCGTGAGGTGGGTGATGACACCAGCACAGACTTTCTGGAAGGCTGCTGGGCCATGGCCATGCCTTCCCCACAGGCCTTGTCTCTGCTGACAGGCCAGAGGTTGATCTGAGGGAGCCATGAGGAGGGGGAGTCCCTACATTTCCTTTCTTCCAGGCTCTTCTCCCTCTGCCTTTGCCAGCTCTGCTAGGTTGGGGGAAAATATGAAAATATGAAAGGGGGCTTTGGCCTCTCTCTCTCCCCCACCTCTTTCCACAGACTCAATTTTGTTGCTAACCCCCTTCCCTGCCAAGTGGAAATCATGGATGGCTGGGGGGTGGTCAGTATCTTGCAGACATCCATCCTTCCAAGTCTGCCCAGCTCCCCCAGGGAGGTAGGGGTCTGGCAACCTCAGAGGAGAAATGGCCACAGACCACACCAGAGCCAAGAGCAGACTCCCCCTCTTAGACCCCCTGTGTTTGACCTGAGCCAGGGACGTGTCCACCCGCGGGAGGCCCTATTCTCCAGTCAGTCCCCACCCAGAGCTGCTGGTTTCCAGGTACTGGGGGCTGGGCCAGCACTTTAAGGTGCTGCCCTTGGGTCCGTGGTCTGAGGCCGAGTGGGGGATATGGAGATGGGCAGCGCTGAGGGGCACGCGGATTTGGCTTATGGGACGCTCTGTTCCCTGCTCTTCGGCAGGACAGCAGATTCCCGAGTCCCTTGGACAGCGCCTCCTTTTTCCCTCCCGACCCTAGGAAGCGAGTGGGACTGGTGCTGCTTTGGGGGTGTCTGGAAGAAACGAATGAATCGGACATTTAACGAGGTCCTAGCACGTGCCAACCATTTTCACATACCTACATTTTAGTAAATCCTCACTACGAGTGGACACTGTGACGCCCGTTTCACAGATGCGGAAACTGAGGCTTGCCACAGAGGTGCCTGGAGGGAAAGGCGAGGGGAACGAGCCTTTCCCGCGCCCCGCCCCACCCCCCGACCGGGCCCGTGTCTCAGTGGCGGCAGGCGCCGGCCTCCCCTTTCCCGCCGGCCGCCCCTTCCACACCCCCCGCCCGCGCCCGACGGTGCGCCGCGCTCACCTCGATGCGGTCCAGGCGGTCCCGGAGGGCGCGCACGGCGTCCTCCAGCTCCAGGATGAGCGCCGGCGAGTCCCAGGGCCCGTCGGCCATGGCGTCGCGGCGGGGCCCGGCGTCCTGAAGGCCGCGGGGCAGGCCGCTCTCGCAGCGGCCCAGCTTGCCGGTGAGCTCGCGGATGGTGTCCTGGTCGGCGCGGATGCGCGCCTCCTGCTGCAGCGCCGTCTGGCGCAGCTGCTCGGCCGTGCTCTGCAGCAGCAGCAGCTCCTCGCGCTCGCCGGCCGCCGCGTCGCCCTGCTCGGCCCCCGACGGGCAGGCGGCCGCCAGCGGCGTGCAGAGGAAGCGGCTGAAGAGGGGCACGGGCGGCAGCGGGTGCGCGCTGGCCGCCGGCGCCCCGGGCAGCGCGGGG